TATGTATAAAAACTAAAATTCAATCAATTGCAATAGCAGTAGTAGCAGAAATCCAGGATAAGATCAACTTGTTATTCTGATTCATACTGTATAGGATTCAGATTTCATGCTATTATCCTCCATCAACACCTTTGCCTCTTAAAATGAATAGAGCAATACAATGGATCATAATTATGTTTTAATGAAGTCTAGGCGATTTATAACATAAAATAATATACATAATTTATTTGGATATATGTAGTTTTAATATTATAGAGAAATTAAGGCTCTCAGGCCAGAATAATCTTATTCTTAATTGGGTGGCAGGTACTCGGAGAATAAATGAAAGATAAATGTATGCATTTAGTGAAAATGGCCCAAATCACGATATACTTATTGATGGCATACTCCTTTCTAGAAAAGTATGACTCACTTATCTGGATTGGGTTATACTACTATATATCCTTATAAGGTATGTAAAACCAGCTAAAACCGGAATTCTGTGCTATGCGAATTTATGAAATAAACTTAGTTGCTGCTTAATTCCTATTTTATCGAAATATAAGATTAATAGACAAATTTTAAAATAGATAATCTTAAAATCAGTTATACTTAATATATGCGAATACATTAAATCCTGAAAAATATAAGTATATCTTTGAAAATGTCTGTGATGGCTTTGAAAATAGTGTGGCAAAAACACTCATTGTATGAATGTCATTAAAAATTTGAACCGAAGACCGGTATTATATATAATAAAACTAGCACTTACAGCTCAAGATACCGTATTTATGCTTAAAAAAAACTTGAAAAAAATTTCAATTTGCCTTAAAGAGATCTTTGCATTCGAACTATTTTCCACTATTTTATTTACTTAGGTGATAAAAGTAATAATAACCAATCCACATAAAGCTCTTTGCAACCAAATGATTTCGAAGCAGACATGCAAATGTTAGAGGAAACTTACTCAATTAATTAATAACCAGCTAGGCAGAAAAATTCTCGCCCCTCTAGAGACCAGACCAGTGGCCCATTATAGGGACCTTTATAAGAAGTTTTTTATGTCAGGACTTGGTTGTCGGATGCACCATAATCAGTGGTTTCCGTCCGAACCAAGCTTTCATCAATCGGCAACACTGCATCGTCGGCCTGACTACAATAGTCTAGATGCCGACGTGTGGCCAGCTCTGGTTTGGGTAGTAGTAGCGGTACCATCAAGGCAGCCGACGAGAGTGATGGTGATAGAGTTGAAGTAGAGGTCGGATGAGCAGAAGATGCGATATCAGGAGCTGTCACGTGCGAGGTGCTTATTTTGCGTGGAGGCAGAGGAGGGAGAGGTTGGTGACAGCATGAACCAAGCCCCGAGTGTAATTGCAATAGATGGTGTTGCACATGGTGAAGATGATGCTGGTTTGGTGGTACTGAAGGAGAAATTGGGCTTGCTGTCGTTTCCTTAGCAACATGACAGTCAGGTGAGGTAAATGCCAAGGGGAGTGGAAGAGGGGAAAGAAGTGCTGCTGGGACTATTGGTCCATGTGATGGAGGCACTGCAGCAATATGCTTAGAGCACCTGGCCGTTGAAGTAGTAGGTAGCACTGCATGATGTGAACGTGGAGGTAAACAGGGCGGTTCAGGTGCCGACATCAAGGGCGGGTGGAGGGCTGAAAGTGGCGTCAAAATTGAAATAGAGTCAGTTCGACCTGAACCAGGTTGGGCATGGGCTCCAGAGGAATGAATGTGAGGAACGAAGGAGGTAAACGAGGGAGATGGGGGGGCGGATAGGAAGGAAGCAGAAGTGGAGGTAGGAGTAGATGAACCGATTCCGGAAAAAGAACTTGGGTCAAGAAGCAAGATTTGCTCAGATGAAGCACAAGACTGTCCCACTCCAACAGTAGTCAGCCCGGGGCGCAAGTTGGAAGGGCAGCAGATGGAGCATGCGAGACCCGACATACAGAAAATAGATGCGGTTGAACTGGGTGTTCCAGTGGCGGGAAATGGAGTTACTGGAGAATGGCAACTTTGAGGAGCGCAGGCATCTACTGGATGCGAAGATGAATGCGCCACTGAGTTATAAGAAAAGTCCGTCTGTCGTGCTGGTGTACAACATACACAAGGACAGAAAGCTGTGGAGGCTAGAGGTAGCAATGAGGGCGTGGAGGATTGCACATGATGCGAGATTAGGCAACCTGAAATGAAGAATCGAATAGAATATTAAAACTATTCATTTTGCAACATGAAAAAATACTATAGATGATAAACGTGGGGGAAAAAATAAAATGGGAATGAATCTTTTGAAAATCAAAACGCAATAAGAAATCATAATAAATATAGTAAAATATATAAAGTGAAGAAGTTGATGCTCGAAAGCGATGACGAAAATGGCAAAAAACAATTAACGTAATAAGTATAATCGAAAGAATGAAGACCAATATGCTGTGGCACATTGTGTGGTTGACTCATTTCGTTGTATAAAAGTTGTTTTACCTCGTTCTCGCAACTTGGTCTTATTGCTAGCACGACACAGAGTAACGCACCTAGTCCGGAGTCTATAGTATGCATGATAATTTCCAGAGTCCGACCGTGGAAGTGGTACATGCACAGACATTTCGCTGGCATTTCCTATGTGTTATCACAGTCTCTCACTTGCCCCGTAGAATCCATCTGCTATCTCCCTGGTTCAAGTAGCCCAGGGCGGAAGGAGAGATACCACAATTAGTTAAAGGATCGGCTTCATTTGTCTCTTTGACGAGTTGTGGAGTGGTGCTAAGAATGTCACGGCTCATTGACGATGCTGACGACAATGCCGGCGAAACCTCTGGGAATGTACTACCTCCATGGTCAGACTCTGGAAATAATCATGCATACTATGGACTCCGGATTCTTCTAGGTCTTCCTACCAATATGACGAAGTTGAGAAAACAAGGTCAAACAACTTCTATTTATTAAGTATAATTACACAAAAAAGATTAAACAAGAATATTAAGTAATAAAGTATAAAATTAGGCACAACACATTTATTTAGGATTGACGATATAGTATTTAAGTGGATTTATAAACTTATTGATGAAAGCGGGGCAAGATACAGAAGTTCATAGTTCTTGCAGGATAATCGAATATTTTTTTATAAAAACTAATATAATTAATACACCCGCAAGTTTTCTCGACTAAGAACCTTAAACTAGTTGTAATAATAATAGGCAATTTTGATAATTTCCGTCAGACGAAAGCTTAGTATATATAGATATATATATATATGTATTCCCCCTACTGGTAATTGAATTTTCCCACAATATGAATAAGCATTAGGTCTCCAACGAATTTCATATAGCCTTGATTCCCGAGAGGTATTCTATTCCAGAGTGGAATGTAGTTTTGACGTCGCCTAGGTCTAATTAACACCTTAATTAACACCTGGGACTTAAACTGTGCAGCGTATAATCTCTACAGATTCGTAGGTCGATCTCATCAGATTCTCGCTGCGCTGCAGTCATTTTCTTTAATACTGTCACCATCTGAAATAAATCGAATCAACTTGTTAGTATTTTGATAGTTCTAATCTCACTCAAACTCATCGAACATGTAGATTAAGCTCATCAGCCA